ACAAGCCTAGTAAGAAAATAGAAATAAAAAATGTATAATTTTATGGTTAATAAAATTATTATGTTCTCTAGCTCTTCATAAGCATATATATAAACAAACAAGTTCATCTAATAGCTATTATGTAGAAAAACAATTTTATGATGGTAAAAATTAATTCTTTTCAGCAGTTGATACAAATAAAAATATGTATAGAGAGTTTGACTTTTATATCATAAATACAAGGTCAATGAGAGCAAAACTTATTGCCATTTTTCTTTAATTCTTTTTCGAGTTAGAATTTTACTTTTGAATAATCCACCAATTTCATAAAATTAAATTCTATCTGCAGATTTGTATCGAAGCGTTTCTTATGATAGTGATTTTAATCACTGTCAGATATCATATATACCAGTACCAACTATGTCACTTCTCCACTGTGCTGCGACCTCACTGTACTAGATTTTTTATGATCTCACTTATTCAAAATAACTTGTACCTCAACAAAAAATGCTCATATATATAACTGAAAATAAAACATTTTTAAAACTTACCTCCATTAATGGGAGAAACTAAACAAATTAAAAATTCATCTGCAATATTGTTATTTTCTTAATATTAATTGTAATGTTAAAATATAAAGACATTTAAAACTACAAACTGAGCTCATTAAATCGGAAATTTATTCACTAATATCTTAAATCTCAAAGTAAAAGATTAATTACTTGTACTTTATTATTTATACATTTAATTAATTTCAAATAAAAAAAAACTTGTAAATTATTAATTAAAATTATTTAATAATACTTAAATATGCTTTTTAATTTAAAAATTATAGATTTTTTCTTTATATTTATTTACATTTTCTTGAGAATTTTAAAACTCTCTTATAAATCTTCTAATATCTCTCCTTACTAAAGTAATATCCTCTCTGTTGTTAGATAAAAGAAATTACTAATCTCTCTACAAACAAATCCCTTCTTGTCCTATTATTTAATGCAAATGGTTTAAAAAATCACACTAATGAACTCCAAACAACTTTATATAATAAACGTATTGACATTGCTTTAATAAAAGAAACTCATTTTACTCAATATTCACACGTACACATACATGGTTATAAGCTACATAAAGTTAACCATCCAGACAACACATCTCATGGAGGTGTGGCCATCTTAATAAAATCCGCAATAATATATCAAATTCTTCCAAATTTATAATTTACAATTTTATAAATTCTAAAAATTTCAAAGTACTTACTTCTCCAGGACCTACCTATTGGCCATGATTCCCCCATAAAAATCCAGATATACTGGATATATTTGTTACTAAAACCCCATCAAATTCTGTTGACAATATTCTCGATTTAAATTCCGACCATTCATCGGTTATTCTCACAATTAAAGACCGTCCGCAAATCATTACTGAACCACTAAGACTTTTTCACGATTCAACTGATCGTTTCCAATTTCATGACCTTGTAGATCAGAACCTCCAAATAAATATTAAATTAAAAACCAATGATGACATAAACGCTGCTGTAAATAGCCTAACTAATATTATTCAAACAGCAACTTGGGCTGCTAATACAGCTAAAAATGTACATACCACTAAACCGATTCACTACCGACTAATATTCGTATTCTCGTAGCAGAAAAAAGAAGAGCTAGAGCTCTTTACCAACGTACTCGCTTACCCTCACAAAAAAAAATATTGTAACGTGACAAAATGTGAATGTTATGATATTGATAGATTACTGTTTTGCTTTGCTAATGGGCGCGCGTACGTTATATCCGGCCGTGTAATCAGAAAACTGTACTGTTGCTGTCANTTATCATCAAAAAATGGTAGCCTTTGGAAAGCGATAAAGTAAGCATTACAATATTAAGTAACTACCACACCTATTAAAAAGACTGATAGAAGTCTAGCCTCGTCAGACCTTGAGAAAGCTGAACTATTTAATAATCACCTCTTTAACGCTTTCCAACCCCACCAAGATATTTCACATGACAATTTACATACGGTTCTTAGGTATCTCGACGTACCATTACCACTTACTCTACCAGTCAAGCATTTTACGCCAAGTGATATTATATTTACCATACAAAAATACTCTCTAAAGAAGTCTCCAGGTTTTGATCTAATTACTGCTGAAGTAACTAGATGACTACTTAAACGAGCATTTATCCTACTTATCTATATATTTAATGCTATACTGAGGTTTCCTACTTCCCACTTCTCTGGAAGCTCTCTAAAATCATTCTATTCCCAAAACAAAATAGATAAATTCTATTCTCCAATCCACTAATAAAAGATCTTTCAACTAATGTTATTCTTTGTAATCTTCTGAGACGCTTAAAGTGCAACTAGTATAGAGATCTATTAACTTAACTTTAGTTAAAAAAAAAAAAATAATAATAATCACTTAAAAGTGTCATCAATTCTTCAAAGCAAACAAATAATTGTATGTTTCATAATTAACAGCGTGAATTTCACCGCTATTGCTGGCATCCATAACAACCAAGATGCTTATTGAGCTTTTGAAACGACGTATTTGTACCGATGATGACGGTAGAAAGCATTTATATATATATTCAATATTTTTTGAGGACAAATTCTCCNCGATTATGACGGTAGAAAGCATTTATATATATATTCAATATTTTTTGAGGACAAATTCTCCTGTGCCATTAGAAAGAACCGCACAAATGTGTAATAAACAAAAAGAGTGTCAGGGGGTGGGGTGGTAGGTAGTGGTAGACAAAAAGAAGTAAAAAGGATATAGTGTGTTGTGGCAAAGGAATGTTGTTAAATGTGTTTGGGGCTCGGGGTGTGAAAGGGAAGAAATGTAACACAGGTGGCCAATAAGGAAATAATAATCGTAGCAGGCGTAGTGTAAAAAGGATGGGTACCAATGGAAAGTAAAAGTGTCTATAGATACCCAGTAGTGACTAAAATAAAATGAAATAAAAAGGGATCTCGGGGTATGTATGCTTGTGTAAAAACGTCTAATATATGAATAAGATGGAATTACAAAGAAGGGTCACTACCTAGCTCCTGCACTGAAACGCGCACACTAATTTCCGGCGACTCACAAATATCGTGTTTTTTATAAAAATATTTTAATTTATTCTCAATGACCTATCTTGTTCTAATTGTTTATTAATAAAAAATTCTTCAGTAAAGGATCTATTATAAGCTTATTATATAAACAAATGTTTCACTTACCTCTGACTATCCTGATATTCTCTTGAGATGAATGATGTTGTTGATGTAACAATTATCGATGTATACGTTTACGCATTAATGTACGCAATTATATTTATACGGTTTATATTATTACTAACTCGCGTGTAACTACTTTTCTAGTACAATTCTATATTAAATCTACCCAAGGTGAAGTCTAAGTTTATTATAACTCTGTCTTTTTGTAAAAACCTTTTGTATATTTATGTAGTATAGTTCTTAACCTTGTATATGGTGTTTTACCTTAATATATTTATTATTTAAATAATTTATAAAGCAAATAAATAACTTCTAAGCAACATAACTGTCCTGTGCAACAAACTATTTCCAAGTGGCCTACGTCTTTTCAGTCGTCCAAATGGTGATCTAGGGTAGATGCGAGCTCAATTTCAGTTCTTTGCACAATAGATTATACTAGTGTCCTACACTCCGATTGCCCGCACTGTGGCAGAGATCAGACTAGCTAGTCGATAAGTGGAGAGACACTTTGAAGAAATCTTATGGTTAACTAAAATTCTAATTATGATATTATTGTACTATTACCCTGTCCAGCCAGGTTGTGGCCCTTCAATAAGTAATAAATACAATTCAATCAAATTAATTACCTTAGAATATCTAATGTATACTACAAAATAATATTAATAATTTATGCGTTGTAAATTATATAAGTGTCCTACACTCCGATTGCCGGCACTGTGGCATAGATCAGACTAGCTGGTCGATAAGTGGAGAGACACTTTGAATAAATCTTATAATTAACTAAAATTCTAATTATGATATTATTGTACTATTACCCTGTCCAGCCAGGTTGTCGCCCTTCAATAAGTAATAAATACAATTCAATCAAATTAATTACCTTAGAATATGCTTATATATATATATGACTATAAATGTAAATAAAAAGAAATAAATAAACACCNGTATCTAATGTAAATTACAAAATAATATTAATAAGTTATGCGTTATAAACTATATAAGTGTCCTACACTCCGATTGCCCGCACTGTGGCAGAGATCAAACTAGCTCACAGTGTTCCAGAAAGTTGATTTAGGGGGACAAAATTATTTAAGTATAAAATTATTTTGTATACAACTTATTTTGATAATTACTTCANCAAAAGAGGGTAAAAATTATGTAGATTTCATATAGAATTGTAGCTAAGAATGAAAGATAAACTCACGCACATTCAATTTTTGTATCTTGGTTGAGTATTCCAGAGAGCCGTAGAGATGCATAGATAGAATGGCAAGGCGTCCCAGTATCCGCTAGAGGGATGTTCAGAAATCGTATATAACCACTGTAAGAGAACCAAGTGCAAAGGAACCACCCGAATTTGGGGGAAAATGGCCTTTTTATAGCCTGCAAAAACTGGTTTAGCGATCTCTGGTGAGATTCTTGAAATATTTTTGCTGTATTTGATTGGTTAATGTGATAGAATCTTTTACGTGGGCGTTTTATGGAATGCGTAAGAGGGAGGTTAAATCTAGTGTAAGGGTATTATTTTATTATTCATCTTATCCACGGGGAAACACTGATTTGGTGATATATTTTATTAAATATAAGTATTAATTATTACATGTATTAAAATGTGATACTACAAATGACCCTTAGTAGTTGAGTCTGGCTGCGGTTGTCCACGCAAACCGACTGTGCATTATTTCGACAGTGACTAGCTTAAATTATTGTGTTAGAATTAATAAAATTAGAATAAATTAAACATTCTCAGCCGAATAATTTGGTTTTTTATTAACATACAAAGTGATCAAAATAAAATAATATAAATACTGTGCATTTTAATTAAAACTCGTTACTATTGTTACAATGGCCAACAATAAATAAATAATAAATATTAATTTTATTAGCTCTAATTATTGGAATTATTAAAAATAAAAATATTATAATAAAATATTTTTTTTCTTAAAAATTCCTGCCTGTTCTATCCTGTTCAATATAAGATAGATCTTTTAGAGTAGTGACAACTCCCATCGTATATTTATACCTATTTATGTAGAGATAAATACACTTTTTGCTGTTCATATCTTCTTCAGAGTAATTAAGCCCATTTTTGTCAAAAAACATCCATTCATTTTCTTTAAAATATAAAAAAATACAAACGTCCAGGTAATATGCTGCAGCGAAAAATTCTATCAAATCACCCGGACTTATGTCTTTACCTGAAATAGGCATAAAAGCATAGTTCTTTAGAAATTTTCTTTATTTTAAATTATTTTTGTATAATTTAATAAATTGATCAAGAAACAGTGTAGTTTATAAAATTTGGAAAAAAGTAAATCAAATAATAAGTAAGCACTTAAGAAAAATTGTTTAATTCAAAGTTATTTATTATTTTATTAGTAATGGTATAAAGAAATTTGAATATAATGTCATAATTTTTTACATTATTAAAAAAAAACTGTAGCAAAGTGGGATCAAAGTACACTGTGGACGTGGCATAGATGGGACAAGTATAGATGATATCTGACGATGTTTAAAATCATTATCATAAGAAACGCATCAATATAATTTGTAAATAATGTTTAATCTTAAGAAATTGGTAGATTATACAAAAATTAAAGTGAATTCCTATTTCCTTCATTATTCCTGATTATTAGTTCTTTGATTTAGAAGTATAATACATGATTCAATATATTTAATATCAATTTATGAGATAGGTATTGTTACGACTGTCGTTGTAGAAAATCAGATAAAGAACGACACAGGGTTTGTTTTTATCACAAAGTGGCATGAAGCCGTATATTGTTTTCTTCAAAAAATAGTCACAAAAAACAAAATAAGAAATAAAATAAACTATATATTTAATATTTAATAATATTGTAAACGCAGCGAGTTGATAAGGCGTAATATGTAGACGATCCGTATCGTGCGATGTCACGGAGATTACTTATAGGACGTATTATTGCGGCGGGTATTCGACGCTAGGCATTTATTGGACTTTACACCNTCCCTTAAGGGGGGAAATCAGGCATTTATAAAATACAATGTGAAAGTTGTAATAAATGTTACGTAGGACAAACAAAAAGAAATATAGGGGTCAGGTTTAAAGAGCACTTAAGAAATATTAAAAATCAAGAAGTTGAGAAATCTCCAGTGGCTAAACATTTATTGACACATAATCACTCCATTAAAACCATAAAACTAATTAAAAACGAAAATAATTACAAAGAACTTAATATCAGAGAAGCAATAGAAATGTTTAAAAATAAAAACAATTTAATTAATTGGGATCTTGGCCCACTGAAAAATTCATTATTAAACTTGTGTAAACTGGCAAAATGTGATAATATTACTTAGTGATAACGTCACTAGGTGATAAGGTCACTAGGGGTATATAAGGGAGTTTTTTCTAGTCGGGGTGTCAGTATGTGTTTAGCGTTGATAATGGTAACATTGTTTCCGAAATACGTATCCGCGACTTTTCATTAATTTTTTTGNGATAATGGTAACATTGTTTCCGAAATACGTATCCGCGATTTTTCATTAATTTTTTTGTGGCTTTGAGTTTAATATTTTTTAGTTTTTTAAATTAATAATATTTTTAATATAGTTTTAATTTTACTTAATTAATTAGCCACAAGTGATCAATTTTTATTAAATAATAAAATAATTGTTAATATTATGGCAAACGTGTATAAAATTTGAAGAACATGATACAAAATTTTTTTAGAAAATAATTTGTTATTAATTATGAAAAAATGGTTGACAAGGAATATAAATTAGAGTCAAAAATATACTTTTATTATTTAATTTTTCGTGCTAATTTCAAATCATCAATTAGATTTTTTATATCATCACTAAGTTTTGATATTATTAGTAATTAGTTAAAAATTTTGGATATAACTATAAGGAATATAATTTTGAATATTTAAATTATATCATCTATTTAAACACTAAAGGTGACATAGAAATAATTTATGTATTTATAGTGATATTTATATAAATACAAAAGATTTAAAAAATTATGGGATTTATTTATAAATTTACTGTTAATAGTAATTATATTAGTTCCTGACCAGAATATAATATGTTTTATTTAATGATATCTAATTTAAAATTGTATGTTTAACTAAAACTAGTTAAAACTAAAACCTAGGACAGGGAGTCACGACATAGTGGTGACGTGGCATAGTTTGATTAAGTATAATGATATCTAACAGTGATTAAAATCACTATCAATAAAAACGCTTCGATGAAAATCTTTAGATAGTATTTAATTAAAAAAAATTGGTGGATTATTCCAAAAGCTATATGATCTGCTATTTCCTTATTAATATCCTGATTAAGATGATGTATGTCGAATGAAAGAGGGATATAAATATTATTTCTCATAAAAAAATTGTATTGATCGATACACTTTACAATAAGTTATAGCATTATAAATTTAAAAATGTAAAATATAAAATCGAGAATTTTCACACAATAATAGCATTTGGCAACTATTTTCATCGTGTTGACAAAACAAAATTCGAAATTTTTTTATATATAAAAGTGTCAGACTTTCGGAACACTTTCAAAATACTGATATGTTTATTTTTGAAAAAGTTAGAGTATTATTAAGTTAAAAATATAAAAAAGAATTATTTTACAAAAATCGTAATTTTTTATTAACTTTGATATCTATTTTCACCACGAAGACAAGTCCAGAGGTCAATTTTTTTTTTTCAAATTAAAGTATATTACATTACCTTTAATTTAATATATATATAGAAGTGTCAGACTATCCGCAACACTTTCAAAAGTTAAGTTGAAAAAGTTCCACTTTCTATATGCATTTTTTATATTTGAAGCCCCTGCCGTATATAGGAAAATGGTCTGATTTAAAAAAAAAAATGTCAAATAAAAGATGTATATGAATACTACTATTCATGAAAAAATTGTATTGATCCATACAATTTTTAAAAAATTATAGCATTTTAAAGTAAAAAATGTAAAAAATAATTTAGAGAAATTTTACACAAAAATAGCATTTGTTAGCCATTTTCACAACGAAGACAAGTCCAGGGGTCAAGTTTTTTTTTCATAATAAAGAACATTACATTACCTTTAATTTAAGATATATATAAAAGTGTCAGACTTTTCAAAAGTTAAGTTGAAAAAGTTAATTTTTTGGGAAAAAGTTGTCATTTAAATCCCCCCCTGTGGACAGGTAAAGGGTTAAATTAATAAAAAATATACCAAGTGATAGGTAAAGACATCAAGCATTTATAAATAAAAATTATATTGATTTGTTCATTTTTGAAAAAATAATGGCAGTTTTAAGAAAGAAAATTTGAAAAAAATTCGAAATTTAGCGATTTATAAATTTATAATTTTTTGAGGGATTTCTCCCATTTAGGGGGAACGAGTAAAGTAATTAGTCAAGTTAATTTAATTTAAGTTTAGTTATCATTTTAGTTCTACTTTGATTATTTATTGAAGGAGTTATAGTAATTATAATTACTAAATGAAATGAACAATGATTATTGTTCATTTCATATAAAGTTTTTTATTGTAATATATATTAATTTTTTATTGAGTCAAAAGTGCTAAAATAATTATCATTGATTTATTATATATATTTGATTTGATTTGATCCAAATTGGCTATTTAATTATTAAAATTTAAATCATTTTTGATTTTTTAAACTTAATTTTTGTTAATTATCTGAGATGTTTTTTTATCTTCGAAGCGATGCTTAAAAAGTTATTAATTTTACTATAATGTGTCTTTTTTTTTTTGTGTGTCTATCGCCATTTTTTTCAGCTCTCACTGGGCCGATTTCATTCAATGATACGCCAAAAGATCAAAAATCGTATCTAATTGAAGAAATTGCCCTTGAAAATTGAAAAATTTCTCTCATGCCCTGTAAATGGCGCAAATACCCCAAAAAATTATGGCTTTAAAAATTGGTAATTTTCAACATTTTTTTAAAAAATAATTATAATAACTTATTGAAAAATTAAAAAATCAACATAAATTTCATATTAAAACGTTAAGTTATTTCCTTTATTTTGATATAATATTTTTGAAAATCTGACCCTTTACCTACTCACAAGAGGGATTCAAAATAGCACCTTTTTCACAAAAATCAATTTTTTTAACACAAGTTTTCAAAATGTTCTAGAAATACTCCGAGATTCAAACTTATGTTAAAATAAAGCTTATGTTATGTACTTTAAGTTTAAAAAAAAAATTTATCCCGACGACTTATGTTCTATGTGTAAATGGTTATCGTAGTTAAAAGACATGCATTTTAGGTGTTAAAAATTAGGATTTAATATTTTATTGATTCAAATTTAAATTACTATAACTTTTTGAAAAATGTATGGATCAATATAAATTTTTGTTTCTAAATAAATATACCTTTCATCCAACATACTTTTTTTGTAAATCGGACAATTTCCCTTCATACAGAGGGCGTTGAAAACTTGAAACATACGTATAAACATAATTAACTCCAAAAAATTGGAGTTAATTTTGCTTTTGGAATAATCAACCAATTTCTTAAAAGACATTACCCTTCAAAATTGAAAAAATTTCCCTCGTTCCCCGTAAATGGGGGAAACCTCCAAAAAAATTACAAATTTAAAAATCGCTAATTTTCGAAATTTTTTCAATTTTTTTTACTAAAAACTGCCGTAACTTTTTCAAAAATGAACATATCAATATAATTCTTTTTTATATAGATGTTTGATGTCTTTACTTATCATTTGGTATATTTTTTTTGTAAATCTGACACTTAACCTGCCCACAGGGGGGGATTTAAAATGACAACTTTTTCACAAAAAATTTACTTTTTCAACATAACTTTTGAAAATGTTCCGGAAGGTCTGACACTTTTATATATATCTTAAATTAAAGCTAATGTAATATACTTTAATTTGAAAAAAAAAAATTTGACCTCTGGACTTTTCTTCACGGCGAAAAAGGCTACCGAATGCTATTTTCGTGTGAAAATTCTGGATTTTATTATTCATATTATATTTAACTTTATAATGCTATAACCCTTTGAAAAGTTTATGGATCCACACAATTTTTTTATGAGAAATAATATTTTTTAATAAACCCTTTTTCATTCGACATACTTTATCTTAATCGAGATATTAAGGAACCAGCAGATCAAGTAGCTTTTGGAATAAAACACCAATTTTTTTAAAATTAAACACTATCTAAAGATTTGCATCGAAGCGTTTATTTTTGATAGTGATTTTAATCACTGTCAGATATCATTANGTTTATTTTTGATAGTGATTTTAACACTGTCAGATATCATTATACTTGATCCAACTATACCACGTCACAACTGTGCCGCGACCCCCCTGTGCTGGGTTTTTTTATATTGTATATATTATCAAGCCAAAGTTGTTAATTATGTTTTATTATTTATTATTGTTTTTAAAATAAATATTATTTATGTCATAATTATTGCACTTGAAGTTTTTATTATTTATTAGTTTAAAAGTTACATACCTGCAAGAACACACTTACACACTAATCACTACATAGATCACCAGTTTTGCGCTGGCGACCACTGCCACTTGTAATGTCTTTGCTACTGCACAACACACTAACAGGTTTGTTATCACTGAAAGTGGTATACCAAGTAACTGACCGTAGGTAAAATAGTGTGGTAATCGAGTACGTGATCTAATATTTATCAACTTAGGTCCGTACATCAGATATGATGTATAATTCAGATTGTTGGTCAGTAGACAAGAAAATAGAGCAGGTTATTGAATGCGATATAAGAACGACGGAAATCGTATTAAGTAGATTTTTAGGATAAGGTTGGCCAGCTCCAAGTAATTGGGATTAAGGAGAAGATAAAGAAGAATAATTATGTAATATAAACTTAATGATAATATGTGTTTAAAGAATGGGGTATTTCCGAAACATTTTCAAAAGTTTAGTTGAACATTTTACTTCAATTTTTAAAAAACAAAATAAATTTTTATTTGTTATCACTTCCGCAAAAATAATAACATTACCTACAATAAAATTGCTATCAACTTTCGTTTAAATTTAGATTGTTCAAGAAATGGTTACAAATATATTTTCCTTTATCTGTTATAAAATATTTTTTATGTTTATTCTATATGTATTATAGATGTGTAAATTTAATATTTTTCATGGCATCTTACGTATTCAACTGGTTATAAAATAGAAAATGATTATAAATTTAGTGTAATTAACATAATATTGAGACTGAGGTAATAACTCCAACAGTTATATTACAAGTTTGGTTGGGTTTGAAATCGCAACCTGTATTTCATTCACCAACAAAAAATTTTCAGCGACAGTAATAAGAGATGACAGTATGTTATTTTATCTTTGACTATTCATTAGGACTGTATTTAGGAGTTCTTTAATTTAAAGAACATTTTTCTCGATTTTTAATGCATCGATAATTATTTTATTACATTATTAGAAAAAAGGTCCTCAAATCTATAATATACATTGTTTCATATTTTACAGTCACTCTTAAAATCCGCACTTTAAGGTACTTGAACCCCTTGCCAGCCCCTCTAGATGTGGTTTTGCATAATTAGTATAACTTAATAACTTCATTAGTCATACACCATTAAAAAAAATATTTTCAATTTTTTTTATAACATACCTTCTTCTTTGTCCAAGTAATAACTAAAATTTTCTCTACAAAGTGGACATTTGTTTTCATTTATATTTATTAATGATTCAGCACATTCATAACACAAAGAGTGGTGACATTTATTTAATATAACAGGTAAATCAAATTCTTCACAACAAATTGGACATTCATTATCTCCATCTAAAAATAATTATTATTTTTCATTTACGAAATACCATATAACAATAGTTACTTCAAAAAATGTGAATGACAAGATTATTTTTAAAAAGTGTAACTTTTTATAACTATTAAATATAAAATACTTTTAAAACTTACATTTATTATATGGTAAAACTAAAATAAATAAACAATTTATCATCAATTTTGTTATATTTCTAAGATAAATTTATTAATTAATTATAATTTTAATGTATTTAAACATTTTAAACTACAAATTAATATTATATTACGAATAATTTATTAACTAATTTCTCCTTAATTTGCAAGAAAAAAGTTCAATTACTTGTACTGTATTCTTTATAAATTTACTCAATTTCAAATAAAAAAAACGATTTTAAGCTATTTTAAAATTATTTAATAATATTAAATATCTTTTTGTATTAAAATATTATATGTCTTATTATTTATATTTATTGACGCATGCTCTACATAATATAATATCATTGTCTCTAGATGATAGCATTATAAATAATTAATCAAATAATGATCTCTTTTTTTTATATAAGCTTTTTAGTTGATAATTTTAGTAATCTTTTAAATTTATATTTTGTTCACCCACGATTACCCACAAAAGAAAAATAACATAGCCAAAATTTTTTCCCTTTAGGAGAATTGATAAAAATATATTTTTTATTTAACTATATTTTTCTATTTATTTATAGTGTTAATAGGAGAAAATAGAGAAGAAATTAATCAAAGGCTAGAAGTGTGGAGATCAGCTCTTGAAGAAAAGGGTTTAAGAATAAGTAAGAGTAAGACAAAGTATATAGAGTACGAGTTTGATAAAGGAAAAAACGAGGTAGGTTAAATAAGAAGATCAGTGACAATTGGCGAGGATGTGATTGGAGAGGTGGAAAGTTTCAAGTATTTAGGATCAGTTGGTGGTATTGACGAGGATGTAAGACACAGGATTAAGTGCGGGTGGTTAAAGTGGAGAGAAGCATCTGGTGTCTTATGCGATAAAATAATTCCAATAAGGCTGAAAGGTAAATTCTACAAGACTGTAGTGAGACTAGCTATAATGTATGGTTCAGAGTGTTGGGCGGTTGATAACAAAGTAGAGCAGAGAATGAGTGTAGCAGAGATGAGAATGCTTAGATAGATGAGTGGAGTGGCTAGAGACTATAGGATAAGAAATGAGCATATAAGAAGGAGTATAGGTGCAGCGTCAATCGCGGATAAGATGAGAGAAATAGACTTAGATGGTTTGGTCATGTTATGAGAAGAGAAGAATCACAAGCCGTAAGAACAGTTGTAGAAATATTGAAGGAAGAAGAGGTGGAGGAAGACCAAAAAAGAGATGTAGAGATGTTATTGAATGCGATATGAGTACAGCTGATGTGGGCGTAGAGGAAGTGGGAGATCGTGTCAAATAGAAGTTTAGGATAAGGGTGGCCGACCCCAAGTAGTTGGGATTAAGGCGAGGATGAAGAGGAAGATATTTTTCTATTTATTCTATTCTGAACTATTAACATAGACGATTTAAATTGGTATTTCTCAGTTTTGATTTTTCCGTTTAATTATAAAATAATTAATATCTTCTGAACTAAATGCTTAAAAAATGTATTGACCGATAATTTTCTTAGTTAATTTATTTTACATTAAATAATGTAAATGTGATGTTTTGTTTAGTGTCTTTTATAAGTGACTAAAGATGGTTATAAATATTACCCCATTTAAAAAAAAATTATGTACAATTGAAAACATGACACAAAGAGAATCTGAATAATGCATTTATTTTGCAGATAATTTAGTATATCAAGTACAAGAATAAAAAAATTACCCTTTAATAAAAACATACCTGAATTTTCAAATTTTATGTAATGATTTAAATAATCATTAAATGATTCTTCATTACGAAAAAGTTTTTTGATATCAACATTTGATTTTATGCTCTAATTTTATCATATATAAAACAATTTAATATATTAGTAATAATTGTTTTTAAATGATATAGTTTAACTTACTGTACAAATTTTTTTTTGAAGTTTCATATTAAATTTTCTATCCCCACATATTAGGTCAGATAATACTTTATATAAATCATTTACTCTGTACGTTTGAAATGAACTTGAAATAAATATCTTATGTTTTATAAATGTAAATCCCAAACTTTCACATTTTTTTTTTTCCATTCCTCATCAACTGAATTTAATTTAAATTGAAAATTTAAATNTTTCCATTCCTTATCAACTGAATTTAATTTAAATTGAAAATTTAAATAGGTTCCATAATAGTTTTTATTTGGTTTATCATCCATTCTAACACTTGTTAAATATGTTATTTTCTGTAAATGATAAAATTTTACGAATAATTAACGACTTAAGATCAAATAATTATAAAAACTCATTACATTTACGTCATAGTAAATGGGTTTGAACTCTCTTTTGTGAGACATTGTGATTAATTTATATAATTAACTAAAATTTATTATAAAAATATCTAAATTTACCTAAATTACTTACATTTCAGCTTCTATGCAAAGCTGAGCAGGTATTAATTTTACTATGATGCTTTTTTTATTTTATTAATTTTGTTTTTGTATCTAACGCTCAATCTCTACTTTTGCTGGACCGATTTTGATAAACAATACGTCAAAAGATCACAAATCGTATCTAGTCGAAAACAGTACCCTTAAAAATTGAAAAAAATTCACTTGTTCCCCGTAAATGGGGGAAATTCATATAAAAAATTACAAATTTAAAAATCGCTAATTTTTCACATTTTTCAATTTTTTTTACTTAAAACAGTCATAACTTTTGAAAAATAACCAAATCAATATGATTTTTCTTTTGAAGTATCGTTGAATGAAATCGGTTTGGTGAGAGCTGAGTAAATGTGGTAATAGACACAAAAAATAAAAAATAAAAAACACATCATAGTAAAATTAATACTTTTTCAGCTTCGCATTGAAACTAAAAACTGAAAAATACGCTTTTAAAGAATATCGAACGAAAAAGTTAAAAATATTTTTTAAAATAAGATTAAAACAATAATGAACGAAAAATATTAGTATTATTGTGAAGAAAACAGTCCGGCGCTCAATATACAAAAAATATAGCTCAAAGCACCCACACTTTTTTGTTTCATGTTATGATAGTAGTTACTATCAATATAATGGTTGTAATGGGTAACGGGAAATCAGAGTTCGATTCCGGGGAGAGAGCCTGAGAAACAGCTACCACATTCAAGGAAAGCAGCAGGCGCGAAAATTACCCACTCCCGGAACATGGACATAAAGACGAAAAATGGTGATACGGCAATCATCCTATGTAATCGGAATGAATATACTCTATATCTCTTAATGAAAAGAAAGTCTGTAATTATATATTTTTAATAATAATCAGAATATATATACAGGGTGATCAAAATTTGGTAAGACTCTTATTTTCTCATAAACTATTGAGATATTAAAATTTTTGTAAAAAAAAAAATTATTAAGTTTATAAAGCTCAATAATAATATGAAGTTAAATAACTTTTTTTTATACGTTCAGGGATAAAAATGTTTATTTATAATTTTTTTAAATGGGAACCACTATTTTTGATTTGATAATATGATAGAAAAAAAACACAGTGGGATGGCGGCCCAGTGTGGACGAGGCATAGTTGGGTCCAGTATAGATGATATCTGACAGTGATTAAAATCACTACCATAAAAAACGCTTTGATGCAAATCTATAGATAATGTTTAATTCTAAAAAAATGATGGATAATTACAAGCAACATAAACATCTATTTCCTTAATTATACCCAGATTAGTAATTCTTTTAATTTTATATTATATAATTTTTACATTGAGTTGTTTTCAAATTATTATTGATATTGATTTTTAATATGTTAAAAGTAATAATTTTTAACCTTCTTTATTTCGTCCTTTAAAGTGAATGTTTATAATAAAAATAAAAAAAATGAATTTATTACGGTAATTTTTAGCTCAACTGACAAGTTTGAAATTGATATTATTAAATAGAAAAAAATGAAATTGTTAAGATTAATATGCGATCAGGAAATTTTATAATTACTATTTGCAGTACATTTTTCAGAAATATTCGATTTTTTTGAATTTTTATCGTAATAGATAACTGAAATAGAAATAATAGTAATCATTTCCTAATAATTTTTGGTGTTTAAAAAGATTCTACAATGGAAATATTCAGAACTTAATTAATTTTAATGATTCACTTTAACTAAATGAACCAAACAAAACAAAGTTGTTAAAAAAATTTACTCAATTGAGCGTATTATAAAATTTGATTATAATTGTAAAAATCCATCGTTAAATTCAGGTGAAACTACAAATCATTTTTTTTTTTTAATTTATGATTTATATAGCAACATATTACAAAAATATTTGGAATACTATAGATTGGTAGTGGCACACACAAATAGATTTAAAGAATTACTAAATATACAAAGTAAAATTATTTACTTTTGTAGTTGAATACTTTTATCATATCAAATCTAATTCGACAACAAATACTTTAAGAATATAACTAATGATTACTTAAGAAAACTAATGATTTTAATTGTTTGTATGGAAAAAGCTGGTTTAGTTTTTTTTTTAATAAGGAAAATTTTTTAGATTTTTAAGAGTAATAACTTAAACTAAATACGAATTGTAATCATTTGACGTATTTTTGAAAGAAATCAGTCCAGTGAGAGCTGAGAAAAAGTGGCAACAGACAAAAAAAAAAAAAAAAACATCATGGTAAAATTAATACCTTCTCAGCTTCGCATCAAAGCTAAAAAAAAATTACAAACAATTTAGTTCTTATAATTTTTTTTATCCGAACAACACTACGTTTTATAATTGTTTAAAGATTTTAACTTCCAGAAAAAATATTGTAGTTTATTACGTTTCATATCAGTAGCAGTGCAGCCAGTATTTTTGTTAGATCCTCTAGTCTTACAAAACCATAGACACAGCTATTAATATTAACTGAAAACCCGATTTGAATCTATTATTGTTATCACTCATTTAGTGCGTAGTAAATTTGTATAGCCAATTTACCTGTTATAACTTGATCAATAAAATTTGGTTTATGAAACAGCAAATAAAAATAATGACTTATGTATTTAATACAGTAAAATGACAATAGAAATATGGCTTAAAATCTCTTAACTTTAACAAGCTGTAACGGACGAACGGTTAATCGAATAAAAAAAATTATAAGAATAAAATTGTGATTTTTTATCTGTCATATTGTAAAGTTAAAAATAAGGGTTTCCATTTAAGAAAATTATAAATAATGTTTTTTATCATTGAAGGGACGAAAAAAATAATGGTTTGTGCCGTGTTTTGTGGGCGGGGAAACGTTATACGTGAGGTATAAACAGCGGCAGCGATGGTAGGAATATATGGCAATATATGGTAAGGCGTATGACATGCGGCCGGTATTGGTCAGTCAAAATAAAAATTAGTTTATATGTATATAATTGATGTCACGCACGCGTGTACGGGTACGAAAACCAAAAATAAAATTATACAGGAAAATATTGTTATTGTTGAGTGGCGAGCGGGGTGGAGTTAAACTAGTTAATAAGAAGTATTAAATGAAGTAGAAGTTTAAAATAATGTTAATTGAAGCTTTTGTTAGTTACTTTAAGTTAAAAAAAAATGTTTGTGACAACCTATCTTCATTTTTCACACAGCTGTCGATTTTAAAATAGAAAATGTGATTTTTAAGAATTCAGTAGTTACCTTTTTTGAAGATGCTTGCTTAATAAAATAAAATACACATAAAATCATAATACTTTTTGAAAACATTTTAACCATTTCGAAATATTTTTAAAAGTACTGTCAAAAATTATATGGTATTTTATAATTTACTTTTCTTTTTTATAATTTTGTACAAAAGCATGTTTTTATTTTCTAACATTTTTTATAAGTAAATAGAAAATAAATTATATTTATACAAACATAACAAGAAAATATTTATATAATTTAATAATTTTTAATAATATTGTTATTTAAGGCGCAATTTAGAAACATTTAAAGGGAACTTAAGCCCTCAAATTATGCAACAGACTGATATTAGATGCACTACATATTTTGATTAAATTATGTCCATATTTTTCATATACATCTACATTATATCTTATATTTAATCCAATTAATGTGTTTAAATTAATTAATTTATATTGTCTAAAAACAAGATAATGAATCAAAACACTAGTCTATTCTATGCTACTTTTTTATACAATACAAAAAATATGAATAAATGCATTATTATGTGTGTTTATTCAACTATGACTCATGTAATATCATTAAAAATATAAGTTTAATTCATACCAAAAACAATTTTTTCTACGTCTTAAAATTTTCAAACGAAAAAAAATAACCTTACTTACTTTGACATCATTAAAATTATATACACTTAAGCTGTTTAAATGAAAACATAATGTTTAACTAGTTTACAAGTAAAAGAAATTATCGCCATAACTTTACAAACCCGCCTTTCAACTTCAATTTTATATCTAAGTTTTGACAACTTCCAAAATATTGATTCAAAAGTTTTTGAAGACCGTTTAATTTTTTAAACATTTTAAAGGGGTAAGTTAAAGATGGGATTATTTTCTTTTTTAAATACTATAAATTTATAAACAAGTTCAAAAATTGGAAATTGTAATTAAAATATTAAAATTTGGTATGATATAAATCTGAAATTTGCATTAGTACTTCTGCAATATCTATTACCAATATCTTTTTCCATTTTTTCTTCAATCAAAATGACAAAATAGAGGTTTTTCTTAAAATTACAGTTTTCATCATTTTTTCTTAGCTATAGAGTAACATGACAAAAGCAATCGAAAAATGTCTACATTTCCAATGCTTGCGCTTTTTGGCCAGTTACCCACGCAGGCGTTGTCGGCATGGGGATGGCCGCGCTTGACAGTGTATCATCCTCTAGTGTGATAGTGGGGGGTCGTGGGTCGGAGAAATTTCTATTTGCGACGGAGGGAAACGTCCTCCACCAGCTCCGCCACCATAACCACACTAACCGCTTCGATAGTCGGTCCCACCCTTGCCAAACTACCCCTAGATGCGCTTCGCAATCTTACCAATATGGAGGGTTTTGCTGATGCATCTGGGGTGGTGGTCGTTGTCAAGTCCGTTCCGTTGTCCAAACAATCCGGTACCAATACTCTCTCGGCTATTTCACCATTGAGAGTGGCTTGGTCACCACCACTCCCTGCAGTTGCAGTACCAACCCCGTGGCTCTCTTTCATTTAATATTCTCTTACATGGAATATGCGTCAGTATAAGTAAATATTTTGTTCCTGTGACTTAGTTTTTTTATATATATATCATCCTAAGTGGTGAACATTGTCTTAGATGATTTATTAATATTTTACACAGGATCAAGTTTTTATTTATTTTTTTATCACCTAATGTTCTCACGACAAATAGATATTATCAGTAGGGTAATTTGGAGAGAGCTGGACCTCCCCAACCCACCCACTCACCCTCCTACTGGTGGGTGTGGAGGAAGTGTACGGGGGGATTAAATCCAACTTAAACTAACCTAATGCATTAGGAGGGGGAACGACGAAACCTTACGTAAACTAACCTCATAGTTGGAGTGGGAGAGGATGAAACCCAACGTAAACCAGACGCTTAGGTAAGCATATTTCTAGCATCGAATGTACAAATAATTTCTAAGAATTTTATTATCGACTAGCAGATGCTTAGGTAAGCATATGTCTGACATCAAAGGTATAATTATAGTGTAACGCTCATAAGCGTCTGTAATATTATATGAGAACAATTGCGTCGCTGTCTGTGTATTATTAATATTAAATGTACAAATAATTTCTAAGAATTTTATTATCAGCTATCAGACTCTGAGGTAATCATGTTTCTAACATCAAATGTACCACCGTACAGTAACAAAGATTGTCGTATGTATTTTATACAATATTTTAAAGCTTACTCCACTGACCCATAAATATATTGCTATATTACATATATTGTTAAACGAACGCCACCGCTTTACTCCGTCCACCACCCGACCGGACTGGTAGAGAATCGGTGTAGCTAAATATGCTTCTAAAATTAGACGTTAAATAGAAATTATGATAAATATTTTTATGAGAACATTGCTATAATCCTTTACCAGATGCTTAGGTAAGCATATTTCCAACATCAAAGGTACCACCGTTCAGTAACAATGATTATCGTATGTATTTTATGAGAAAATATGTCACCACTGGTGGTGTTTCACGCCTACGCATTTTATTCTTTACTATACCATCAAATGTACAGCTATAATTTCTAAGAATTTTATCATCAACTATCAGACGCTTAGGTAATAATATTTCCATCACAAAGATATTATATTATAATGCTCATATGCGACTCATTTTGCGCCGACCTTACCACTTAAAAAGCGTCTCACTAATCTAATTATAAGCCTCCCGTTCTTATCAAAATAAGAAATCGAAAGGTGTGTGTTGGTTATCAGTGAAACAATTTGATAACAATTAATTTAATATAGAACCTCCATCAACATTTAAATTAGCGTATTTCTCTTGATATCACCCAAAATCAATTTATTTATGTGTACTCTGAAATATTATTTTCTCTCTCCCTCAATAGTTGTTATATATACGTTTTCATTCTAGTGTAAAAACCATAATTCCTTTGATATTTCACTTATGATAATTTACCTTGAAGTCAGTTACTAAAGAAAATAAAGGTAAGTGCGAATATTTATTTGCATGCCTTACTTCTAAAAAAATCACGTAATAAACAAGAATAGGAATAAATGAGGTAGGGATATTTATTATTTAATAAATAAATATAGTTCGACACCGAGATACGACTACATTCTTACTACCTTTACTCCCTTTTATCTTTTTTTGNTCATTCTTACTACCTTTACTCCCTTTTATCTTTTTTTGTTTATTATAAAACCCTCGCCTAAGTGGTTGGCGACCAGACTTTTCTTTTGCAAGGGGTCATGGGTATGGCGACTCCCTAATCTGTTGCTTGGCCCAAGTTGTCACCTCACATTTATATGATTTTTATTGATGTATGCTATTGTAATAACTATTATAGAGGGATTTAAATCTATCTATAATCGTGATTGTTATTTTAGATAATGAGATATTTTTTATAACACAATTTGTCATCAGATCCGCCAGGGAAGTATGATTATCATAACGAACAAAATTAATGACTTAAACACGGTATAACCGTAATCTTAGATTGTTTTTAGTAATATCACACAATAATACTAATACATATTAAGCGCGAAGCATGTTGGTTCAAATGGATGTAAGTAAAACCACAGAAAAAATGAATCTTCTGTGTGATAAAAGTATTTTTTTTTGTAATTGAAATTGTTTAAGGTTATATTATTATTTGCAAATTACGAACTAAGATTGATTGTCCATCAAAGCAAAAACAAAGTGTAAACCAATATTTTTCAAATAATTTAAATAATCAGGAAAATTTTATTCTTATAAATGTATTATTGTTTGCGCAATTTTCCTTATAATTCACGGCGAATGGTCAAACACTTAATCACTTGTACAAAAACTACTATTGATTTTAAGAATTATGACTTGCCAATTATTAAAAATTTATTTAAACCCCAAAAAACTATGTTAGTTCAAACTAATATTCCAGATATCATGTCTGAACTTGATGAATATCGTTCAAATAATAGGCTATGGTCTAAGATATTTGTTTAGGACAATTTAAAGACTCGAAGTGATGGAACACAACTTAGTCCTATAAAATTTTTTCTTCAGTTGAAATTTCAACCATTGCAATTCCTTTATTAGAATTCTCCCCACAACTGCATCGACAGAACGCAGTTTATAAACATATGGTCTTATTCATACAGCTAAAAACAGATAAACAAATGATCGAGCATCCAAACTATTGTACATTACCAGGTGTGTAAATATGAAACCGGAATTATTTGACATAAAATACATATTATACATCCTATTCAAAGTATTTTCCTTCGCTACCTATACATTTTCCCCATATTTCGGGCAATTTATGGATTCCACGCCAGAAGAATTGTTGCTCTTTTGACGCAAACCAATTGTCGAGGCATTTTTGCACATCTTCGTAGGAAGAGAAGCGCTGCTCAGCGAGTGCGTGTTCCAAAGATGCAAATAAATGGTAGTCTGTAGGAGCCAAGTCTGGCAAATAAGCGGTATGCGATAAAGTCTCCCAACCAAACGCCTCGATTAATTCGTTGACCACTTTAGCCATGTGTGCCTGAGCATTGTCGTGAAACAAAATCACCTGGTGTTGCCGTTGTTGAAGTTCCGGCCGTTTGTCTTCCAAAGCTTGAAACAAATTTGACAGTTCTTGTAGGTAAAGTTCAGTGTTGACAGTTTCACCAGGTTTAAGAAGCTCATAATAGATAACACCCTTCTGATTCCACCAAACACAGAGCATTGTTTTATTTCCAAAGCGATTTGGCCTCGCACTCGACTTTGATGGTTCTCCTGGAGCTACCTATGATTTTTGTTGCTTAGGAATCTCAAAATATATCCATTTNTGTTGCTTAGGAATCTCAAAATATATCCATTTTTCATCGCCAGTTACAATGCGATGGAGAAATGATTTTATTCTGTGCCTGGCGAGCAGCATTTCCCAAGTTGTTTGTCGGTTTTCCCGTTGCCTTTCCGTCAGTTGATGTGGAACCCATTTTCACACCTTTTGGATCTTTTCCATGGCTTTCAAATGATTGGATACAGCTTCCCGGGTCACATTCAATTGATCTGCAAGTTGTTTTTGAGTTTGTGTTGCATCATCATCTAACAACGCTTGC